ATATAAAATAGTTTGAAATCTAACAAAACAAGATTTCAAATGTTATACATTATGATTTTGCTTATTCAAATACGATCTATAATGTTAGAAGTTCGATTCTCACCACAAATTGCATTATACATTATTGTAAGTAGCAAACTTAGAATCTAAATACGGTATACTTGAATTATAACATAAGTAGAGCATGATGAATTATATGTAACGAAGTTCGTCTTTTTATTCATTTTAAAATAATAAGTCGAAATCAAACACGATCTATAATGTTAGAAGTTCGATTCTCAACTCAAATTGCATTATACATTATTGTAAGTAGTAAACTTATAATCTAAATACGGTATACTTGAATTAAAACTTAAGTAGAGCACGATGAATTATATGTAACGAAACTCATTTTCTTATTCATTTTAAACTAATAAGTCGAAACCAAACACGATCTATAATGTTAGAAGTTTGATTCTCACCTCATATTACGTTATATATTACTGTAAGTAGCAAACTTAGAATCTAAATATGGTATACTTGAATCATAATGTAAGTAGAGCATGATGAATTATATGTGACAAAGTTCGTCTTCTTAATCATTTTAAACTAACAAGTCGAAGCCAAATCCGATTTATAATGTTAGAAGTTCAATTCTCACCTTATTACATTATACATTATTGTAAGTCGTACACTTAGAATCTAAATACGGTATACTTGAATTTTGTTTGTAGTGCACGATGAATTGTATGTAATTAAGTTCGTCTTCTTATTCATTTTAAACTAACAAGTCGAAGCCAAATTCGATCTATAATGTTAGAAGTTCGATTCTCACCTCATTACATTACACATTATTCTAAGTCGTACACTTGGAATCTAAATATGGTATACTTGAATATTATTTGTAGTGCACGATGAATTGTATGTAATGAATTTCGTCGACCTATACGATTTAAACGAAACAAATTGTAAACAACTAAGTTGTTTAGGAAAACGACTACAGTCATTTAAAAAGACTAGAAAACTGCTATGGTCGTTTAAAAAGACTAGAGTCGTTTAGGAAAACGACTACAGTCTCTTTAAATAACTAGAGTCTTTTTGTTAAAAACGATTATAGCATTTTTAAACGACTAAAGCCGTTCTCTTCGAAAAAGACTGAAAAATAAACTAACATTTTTTGAAAAAAATCGACATTATCTCCCTTGTAATATAAACTAAATCAACCTGAAAAATAAACTACTATTCATAACACAAAAAACCCCATATTCCACATGCACTACAAAACTAAATTTGCATTTATAACTCATAGATATACAAATACATCAAAAGATCCCATGGATCATAAGCAAGGGCAAAAATATCGGTAGCCATCTTTTTCCTCCATCTATTCATTTAGAAGCCATTAATTGTTCTACTGGACCGTTGATTCTTAAGAATTCTATGTATTTTACTACGTACATACCACAATCGTCCACGACTAAATCAATATGAAAAAGTGAATATTTAATTGTAATAAAAAACTTACGAAATGGCTTGTTTAGTGGTTTTGGTATTCCTTTCTATAACAAGATTATCTGTCTACAATTGATGTTGATTTCCTTCAAAAGTAGCGGGACAATGATACTAGCAGCCTTCAAGTCATCTTTGAGTTGATCGCTCGTAATGCAACCCTTATCAGGATCATACACAAACATTATCGCTTTGGAAAAGTCAATCTCAACTGCGAGCCAATGTCCGCGAGTACATAATGGAAAGTATATATGTGTACATTCCTTCCATTTCCTTCCAAATGATGGCTTTGCCCGAGTGATATATTCCATTAGCTCGATCGGCGTTCTAAAACGATCTTCTCTCTCACGTAAATCAAACAAACAAAGTTCAATTCATTATTAAATTGCACATCCATAATAGCTCGCGAACCACCAAATGACTTGAGATAATTTTTTGCCCGAGCCCACAACAAATGCAAAACCATGTTAACGTGGTGAAAGTTGAATACATAGTTATATACAAATCAATTGAACAATATTAACATACTTACATCATCCGGAAACCATCCCCCTTGTTTCAACACGTCGTTGAACCATTTTTTTTTGCGTCTTCTAAGTTGATATGACCTAATTTATATGTTACATTGAAGAAAAAAATAGAGAATTTTAAAATAATACAAGTGACAAGTAAAAAAAATCTATTATTTTCGTCTATCTGGCTTTGGTACTCATCCTCATCAGCAGGGTTTAATCCTGTGATGAGTATAAACTCGTACAGGGAGAAACGAGCAGCCTTTTCATCCCTAAACAAAACCACAGTTATTCCTCGTTGATAGAGACAACTCGTCATAATAACAAGTTATGAATGAGTAGGGCAGATATTTTTATGTTCCTAATGTCATATAGTTTATCGATGCATGACTTCAAGAACATCTCCTTATGGACATCATCTAATGCATTATATACTTTCTCCACATATAATACGTTTGAACGTGTTGTAACCTTTGCATCACAGTGATCATCAATGTTGCATATGTACTCCATCCTATAAATAGCACAAAACTATTAGAAACTCAATTGAATGTATCTTCCAATAGTTTTTAAAGACTACATATATTGAAGTTGCTTCTATACACAAAGAAGAATAAGCAGACAAATATACAGACACGTTATAGTGATCTGACATACTATATAAGCATCTAAAATCTGGCTACTAACTGCATGCTTCTATACTCAACAAGCATCATTCTCTCTAATAATCAAATGCATTATATTAGCAGGCTTTTTTGACTTGTACTTTTGTTATTTTTTAAAATAAATCTGCAAATCTTTTAAAAATTCTCGATAGTCTGGTATAAAATCAAAAATTTGAGTCCATAAATAAATTTAACCATAATGCACGTGATATTGTTTTGCCCTAGTTTTAAAGGATGCTGCAATTGTTTGTATTATGTTCTTCAAAATATGGCACCTTTAGCAACAAAGAATGTGTGTGTATCCTATGGTATACTTTCAAGAATCTGTGATATAAATGAGAAAAAATCCTATTATTTCTAGAAGATTTGTAATCCTACATTAAGCCGTAGTCCTATCACTTCTGAAGAAAAAGCACATTAAACACCTATGTCATGAACTCAATTTAAAATCTCCAATGGTCTAATAAACAACAGGCAGCAAAAAATAACCAAAACATTTTAAAATTCACAATAAACAACAGCCAACAAGGTAGAGGAATATAGAGGAAAACTGATTCATGTATCTTGACTCAATAATAAAAATTCTGATTTACCAAAATCACTGTAAAAATGTAATTCTTGTAAATTTTTTACTATAGAGTACTTACCAAGTGAGTTGAAGCCAAAATAGAGTTTTCACGTTGTTCTTCCCTTCTTCTTCTTCTTCTTCTTCGTTTTTTTCTCGTTGATGACGTCTTCTTCTTTGTTGTTCTTTTCTTCCCGTTGATGCCCTCCCCCGTGAAAATGTTGTTCAATTGAAAAATGGCAGTGAAGATGCCGTTCCAGTGAAAATATTTTCTTTTCTTCTTCCCGGTTGCTGCTTCGTCTTTCCAGTGAAGATGCCGTTCAATTTGCAAAATCTGACTTCCTTTTACTTTAAGGCTCAAGAGTAAAAAGGGAAAATACATATTAATTGCTTTTATTGTTTTTTTTAAAACGAAAATATTGGTCAAATGACAACAAAAGATTCCATCCAGGTCAAAAGGCCATTTGCCACTGTTCCCACTAGATATTTTCCGGTCGCGGGGGTGGGGGGATGTTTCCAGGGTTTTAGAGAAGTGACAGAAATTAAGTAAAAGTTGCACTTAAAAACCCAACTTATGTTATTATTCACTTTAGTCACCAAACCTTTTTTTCATTCCAACTTGCTCACTTTATAATACGTCAATGAAGATTGTAGGCAAATACAAATAAAATTTCCAAAAAGAATAAGAAAAAAGTCGGACACAGTGGAATCCTCACCTTCTTCGGCTATCAGTGAGATGAAACGTCGGTGCACTGCCAACTAAAATTTGGATGGTAGTTAGTGAATTTTTCTAGGCAAATGTGGAATCTATGTAACAAATTTTGAATTGAAGGTATGTGCTCCTTCTAGGCCTTAATGGGCGCCACCCATTTATAAGAGGAAAAATTATTCAAAAACCTAAATCATATATGATTCAAGAACAAGGAGATTAATTTTAAATTCATAGATTAGGTGCTAATTAAAAATTATTAATATATTTATGCAAATTTATTATACCCGGCAACAAACCATCCACTCACCCCCAAATATCAATCCAACCCCAGCACCCCCATTAAATTTCTCACTCACCTACCTCTCTCTGCGCTCTGTACCCCTCTTTCTATTAAGCCCCCGTTTGTCACCTATTATTTTGAAAATTAATGAGTTGCGAATATATATATATATATATATATATATATGTTTAGTACAGTTTAAAACTCAATTAAAATTATTTTTTTGACCGTTATTTCACTATTCTAGCCATCATTTTTGAATTCTTCTCTTACAGGTAGGACACACTTTATCTCTAACGGTTAAAAAATCAATTAACAAAATCCCTACCAAACAAACACTAAAGAAATTTTACTGGTTTGTATGTTGAATATTTTATTGTGTAAATATATAATGGAGATTGATACTATAATAAACAATTTAAAATTTTAAAAGGTGCCAAATAGACACTAATCATTGAGGCATCACAATGGCATCAATCTGAGAGAGCGACACCATCCATCCCTCTAAATAGATCGAAGGAGAAGAAATCCCAAGCCCCTCCCCCAAAACCCCAAATCCATCATCGCTGCAAGCGACAGGAAGCAGCAGTACTCACCACCGGTGTGAGCAATGGCAAGCAACGCTATGTGTGGTGCCGCAAGCAGTGATACTTCCCGTTGTACGTAGTCAAGGCTTGCTACCATTGTGTACTGCAGTGAGCGTCGCAAGCACCTTGTTACCATTGTGTGCTGCAGTGAGCGTCGCACGCACATGTAGCTGACTTAGCAACGCTCCCTGCTACATGAAATGGGGCTTTCTTGTAGCTCGCGGAGCCCAAGCTAGACCACTAGAGTAATTGGTGGTTAACCTTGTTGTCAATGGAGACTCTTTTCTTCTACAATTGTCGCCGGAGAAAATGGTGGTTTGTATGACCTTGTAGATAGAAAAATAGGGCACCGGTAGTTTAGAAGGATGTGTAATGGTGGACGGGTAGTGACGGTTTAGAAGCTGTGATTGGTAAATAAGAAGGTGTCAATATTTCGATTTTGGTAGTGGGATGAAAATGGGTTGTTGTATGGGTTGAATCAATAGGCTTGTGAAGGAGAAGGTGGGTTGAGTCTGTGGTTTGGGTTGAAAATAATGTGACAATGTTAGTTTTTGGAAAGTGCCATGAATTCAACACTGAAAATGATCAACATGGAGGGTTGATTGAGAGTTTAGTAAGTGAAGGCTATGATTACTTGGAAAATTCGCCACCTATTCAACTGGTGGTAATGGTGACCCGATGACTGTTTGTGATCAGATCTGTGTTGACAATGATTTTGTTACACATAGTCACAAGTTAGACTGACTTGATTATAGATAGTTACTCAGAAGATAAATTTAATTACAATTAGTTTAGATAACACATGTTAGTGACTTGTTATATACAATCACAAATTAGACTGATATGGTTGCAAACAATCATATTGAAGACAATATATCACAAGCATGATCACAGATAACATAAATAGTCACAAATATTGTCAAAACTACTATCATCATCACATAGTATCCAAAATGTTGCTACCACCTCATCACCACCACAACCACTATTGCACGATCAATTTTAATGCACTTTGATCACCACAACATGCCATCACCATTGCCACACAAATCTATTTTCTAAACACGGTTGCCATCACATCACCACTATTACTACAATATGCAAAGCTATTTGTGTTTGTAAATTTATATATAAAGAGAAACCTTTTATAGAGGGAAAAAATATTTTGAACTTCTAGAGATTTCTATGATGGGATGGGCTGGGTGGGCGTGGGTTCGGTTCATGGGTTGGGTGTGCAGAGAGAGAGAGAGAGAGAGAGA